GTTAGAGAGATGTGGGTTTGGGAAATAATGGAGTATTGTTAAGTTAGTTTAATGAGGTTTGGCCTTTATATAGTCCCCCAACTAACCTAATGAAGCACCCCTTAACATTAATTAATCACCTAACTAATTAACTAATTAACTCCCTAATTTTAAAACTTGGTAGTTGACTTTGGACCTTCAAACAACGCCCGTTGATGGGGCATTGATCAAATAATGGTGTCGTACTAACAAGCCATCGTTTGATTCAAAGACTATGTTTTTGGACATTTTGGTAAAATGGCTAAGTGTCAACCTACGAATCCATCAACGGCTCGTCGATTAAATGAAGGCTCGTCGTTTGGCTCGTGGATGCACACTGTCCATTTTGACAGTTTTGGGTCAAATCGAAGGGTCCTCTGCAAGAACCCTTAGGGTGGTCCTTGGAGAGTCGTTCCCAAACATTTCGACCCTAAACATGCTCTAATACTTATTTAGTACCTTTTTACCAAATTTTACTAAATTACGACTCTTAAAACCCATTGAAACATGCCAAGGCACACTAGCACACATCTCACAATTCTTCGGACGTCGTGGTCGTTTCTTAACATCTTGTCTCTAACACTTCCTACTTAGTTTCCATACACTATTTTAGTCTTAGAAACAATTTTAAAGTCTTAGTTCACATAGTGAGGCTCTAGCCAAGTCATAGATTTTCGAAGTGTTACACTTTTTTCAAATTTATCATACAATACCTCTATTTTTCAAAGGATAAATTTTCAAAGGGGCCAATTAGAATCACCGACATATGTTTTTCAAAGGATAAATTTTAAGGCACTTTTTACCACATTATTTTCAAAAGTTGGCAAATAGAGAAAGACAAAGATGGTTAGTTTATTTCAAAGATTTAAATAAGGTATTTTGTTTTTGTTGTAAGTTACTTAATGTGAGCTTTAATGTAAAGAATAATAAGTTAGCTAATGAAGGTAGTATATATTGGAAACTACTAAGCTTAGAACTCATGAAACAACTAACCAACATATTATTAATATGAGTTCATGGATGGATATAGAATTTAGATTGTGTAATAATAAAACAGTCGATGAAAACATTCAAAATCAAATTAATAGAGATAGAGACCATTGAAAAAATGTATCGTCAAGAATTACTTCTATCATAAAAACTCTTGGAAAAAATAATTTGACGTTTAGGGGTAAAATGAAAAAATTATATCAAGAAAATAATGGCAACTTCTTGAGCATTACTGAAACTATTGCAGAATTTGATCCAATTATGCAAGAACATATTCGATGAAGCAAACATGATGAAATTCATAATCATTATCTTGGACATAATATACAAAATGAATTGGTGAATTTATTGGCAAAATGAATTGATGAATTTATTGGCAAATAAAATTACGAACAAGATTATTGAAAAAGTACTTTTAAAAAAATAAAGTATTTCTCTATCGTACTTGAGTGCACGCTGGATACAAGTCATCAAGACCAAATGTCTTTTATAATATGGAGTGTAGATATTTTGCTACTTCCATAAGTTTAACAGATTAGTTCTTAGAATTCATAAAAGTGGATGATACAAGTGGAAAGTGTCTTTTTAAAGTTATTTTAGATGAAATAAAATGTGTTGCACTTGATATTGATAATTTAAGAGGATAATGATATGATAACGAGTCTAATATGAAGGGAAAACAGCAAGGAGTGCAAAAATGACTTTTCATATAAATTCTAGATCATTTTATATACCATGTGGTTGCCATAATTTAAATTTGATATTTCGTGATATGGTTAATTTTTGTAAAAAAAACCAATACCGTTCTTTGGAGTGGCACAACGTATATATTCACTATTTTCTTCGTCTACTAAGTCGTGTAAATTTTTAAAATATGGTGTACCTACTTTAACTCTTAAATCATTGTCACAAACACGATAAGAAAGTCGTACTGAAAGTGTTAAAGCAATAAGATTTTATACTTTACAAATAAGAGATGCTTTATTTAAATTATAAGAAGTTAGTGATGATCCAAAAATTAAAAGTGAAGTTAATTGTTTATCAATTTTTGAGCTTGAAATTTTTGAATTTGTATTGGGTGCGACTATTTGGTATGATGTATTACTACTGTAAATTCAATTAACAAAAGTTTACAATCAAAAGATATAAATATTGATGTCTCTATAGATCAATCAAGAGGTTTAATTTCTTTTTTTAAAACATATAGAGAAGAAAGATTTACAAGTGTTATAATTTCGGTCAAGAAAATTGCATTAGAGATGAATATAGAACTTGAATTTCGTAAGAAACGTATAGTTTACAGAAGAAAACAATTTGATGAAATATTGATAATGAAATCACAAGATCTCTTGAATAATCATTTAGAGTTGATAACTTCTTATACATAATAGACTAAACCATTTTTTCACTTCAAAATAGATATGAACAATTTGAAGTATATATTAATATTTTTTGTTTTCTATTTAGTGGGAAAAATTAAGATCATTAGATGTCGAGAATTTAAAAAAAATTGTCTTAATCTTGAATGTTCCTTAAAATATAATACTTATTTTGATATTGAATTATTTTTTGAATTAAAAGTATTAAGGAAAAAACATACAAATAAAAGACAATATTCTAAACGAGATACTCAATCAAATAAAAAGACTTGATTCTTTTCCAAATGCTTATATTGCTTATAAAATCATTTGAACAAATCCTGCAACAGTTGTCTCAATAGAAAGAAGTTTTTCAAAATTTAAAACAATAAAATCTTATATAAGATCAACAATGTCTAAAAATAATTAAGTGGATTGACTATATTATCGATTGAAAAATAATTACTAGAATAGATTGACTACACAAAATTTTTTTAACAACTTTGCATCTAAGAAAAACTAGAAAAATAGATTTAAAATAAAAACATATATAATTTTTTAAAAAAAATTAAGGCCTCTAGTTTAATTTTGGCCTTAGGCCACCAAGGATTTGAGTCGCCTTATATATGGGCCATTTGGCTCCTTTAGGTTTGCATGGTATTTGGATTTATCCCATGTTATCTATATTTTATGAAAAATTATGCGATTAAGCAAACTTATACAGCTTAATTACTCATTATAGTTATAGTTTGCTATAATTACCACATGCGACTAACATTAACTATTAATTATGTGGGCTGACTTCGAGTTGTATAATTAGTCACGTTTGTATAATTATCCACATTCGTATAATTCACAACTAACAATTCTTTGTTTGATTTATATTTCTATACGATGATTTGTATTTGCATATGAGATAATTTCCTTTGGTTTCTCAGTTTTGTCACTTTATATATTCAATCTTTTTGTGTATAGCTTTCAAAAGTTTGTATAAACGTGCACTTTTTTTTTTATAATATAATTTATTTAATGTAACTATTTAAAGTCAATAAATGTATATTTATATCAATTCGTTATTTTGAGGTGTTTTTTTCATATTTGTATAATTTTAAACTTAATATTGCTCAATCATGCAAAAACACGGAATTATACAAAGGTACCCACGAATTATACAAACGAGATGCGAATATACAAATTATTGCCCTCTCTCACTTGCCTCTCTCCTCCCTCTCCCGATCTCGCTTGATTCTCTCCTCTCTCTCCCAATCTTGCTCGTCTCTCTCCTCCCTCTCACAACCTAGCTCGCTTCTCTCCTCCTTCTCCCAATCTTACTTGTCATATATACAAAACCTATATGAATAATATTCAATTATCTAACCAATATACATACACAATTTACCTCTATCCCATTTCTACCCTCTCTCCTCCATCTCTCAATCTCGCTCATCTCTCTCCCTCCTCTCTCAATCTCGCTTGCCATATATAGAAATACATATGTATAATACACAATTATCTACCTGATATACATGTGTAATTCACCTCTCACTCTCTCGCTCGTATCTCTTATCCCTCTCTCAATCTCTCTCGTCACTCTCTTTCTCTATAACATATAGCTACGAATTGTAATTAACAAATTATAACTATGAAGCATAATTAGGCTATTTTTGAGTGAATATATGCAAAGTTCCTTTTTATATTATGGACCAATTCAAGTTTTTTAAAACTATAGTTATAAATTTGATAAAATATAATAATTTTCATAGATATAATTGATAAATTAAGAAATGCATTAATTTAAAGTCAAAATAAATTCATATTGCGAGAACAATCATTATATGAGATACAAACCGTTTAAAAAATCATGATAGAAATTATAAATTTTATTTACATATGAAATAAATGACTGGTATATATATATATATATATATTGTATTTTTAAAAATCAG